CCCTCACTGCATTCTGGAAATTACAAACTGGCTCAGGAGTGAAAACATTTCCACACCTCCAAGAGCAACACCAGCTCCCTAGTAAAGAAATCTTTCGCTATCTTTTCAGATTAGAGACTTTATCACTAAACACACTCCTGGACGCAGCTATCCCTTTTCATTTTCACCATTTGAACTAATTTGACGTGATAATCCTCATAGCCCTGGCCTTATCTCCCGTCTTTACTCCATCGTGCTTTCCCCTCCAAATGCACCCCCTCCTATGTGTCCCACTGGGAACGTGACTTAGAGTCCACCCTGGATGAAGACATATGGCAACAGACTTGGATGAACGCCAAGTCCAGTTCGCACTGTGCAAGCATATTAGAAATCAATTACAAAGTCCTCTTACGCTTGTAAATGGTACCATTCAGAGTTGCTACCTACAATCCTAATTGTTCACCGGATTGCTTTCGGGGATGTACTTATCCAGGAATCCTTATCTACATATGGTGGCGATGCCAGATACTTTCCGAATTCTGGGACGGCTTCTTGCATCAATATTGTCCAAACTGATTGCCAAGGGAACTACATTTTGCCCTCCTTAAAGTGACATTAAACCCTCAGATTTTTTTAACATAAACCAATACTGTAATGTGTGCCTTACTGTTATCCATGGTTGTTTCCCTTCTCTTTGCTGCTCTTCCTTTTAAATCCTCATGTCTTATGCTTGGGGAGAACTTCCTTTTTCAGCTCAGGGCCTCTTCCTGTAGTGCTGGCTCAGGTTACAAGCCTATACAAATCTATACACAGACACCGTGTATCCATTCCTGAGACAAGGCAGTCTGCTGCAAAACAGAAGTTCTGCAGAGCATGAGAAGAGATGCATATTTAAAAGGAAGAGCAGCAAAGAGAAGGGAAACAACCATGGATTACAGTAAGGCACACATTACAGTATTGTTTTATGTTAAAAAATCTGAGGGTTTAATGTCACTGTAATTGTAAACTTGATGGCCTCCCCCGTTAGGCTTTAAGCTCTCCCTCCACATTTTGACTGCCGCAAAGAGGAAAATAGCGAAGAATTGGCAGTCTAAGTCCCTAAAGTATTTATAGTGTCAAAGGCCATGTTCATTTGATAATGTCTCATGGGAAATGCACAGCTTGACAATACAATGACTAAATTTGAATCTATTTGGTCCCCATGGATCTGCAGATACTTTACCTACACCACCTTCTTACCGTCTAAACCAATTTTTGCCTCCTTAGCGTTTGAGATCAGCCTCGCACCTCTGCGCACAACCTGGTTCCTCCCTTTTCTATTTCTGGATGCTTCTTTCTTTCCCTGTCCTGTCCTTCCTTTTCTCCTTTGCTATTGTGTTTGTCTTCTGTGGTGTCACCTCTGGATTCACAAAGTTAGCTCTCTACTGTCCACACGACATATTTATATCACTAACTTGTTTGTTAATTTTTGCTTTGTCTGGGACCCCTCAAGTCTGTTACATTACTGACTTCATCCCCATACGCTCGATTCTGGGATTTGACTGGATCCTCGCACATCCCTTACCTGTGGTCTGCACATTTCTTTTTTTAATCGCCCCCTTTTGGAAATGTTGTGGGTCTCGGACAATGGAGTGTTCTATGCAAAATGTTTTTGCCTACCACCTACCTTGTGTTACCAGATAGCACTTACCTGTCTCAGGTGATTCTTATATATCTTTGTTTGGTTGATTTCTCTTTTATTTTTTTTTGTATGGTTTCCCTGAAAATTTTCACTTTCAATAAAAGTTTATATAGTTAAAATAAATGTATTTATTTGCCCTTCATTTGAAACCACCTCACATCCCTAGGATTTTAGAAAATGTTCTGTACGTCTCAGCCTAAACTATAGGCTAACATTTTAATTGTTTTTCTATAAAAGCTAATAGTGGTCACCTGGCATACAATGTCACTGTCACACCTACTTTGAATATCGCTGTCATGAGAAAAAAAATTAACCCCTTAGGGGAAAAACAAATCATTATAATAATGATAGTATAAAAATATATATTTAAATATAT